GCCTCAGTCTCTAAATCCTATGCTTGCAATTTCATTTTTCCTACAACGCTTGAGCTGAGTTTCTTCAGCAAGACATTCTTCCTTCGCTCGACTTCTTCAATGAGCATCCCAATTTTCTAACTGGTGAAATTCGGTCGTCGACCACTTTCTCCTCTACTCTCCATTATACGAACGTTGATAATGCGTTCAGATCTTTCCCTTGGGTATTTCTGAAACCTTGAGGTAGTTTTTATTACTTTGAGATTCACTGGGTACCGTCTTTTAGGGTGTTATTGAAGATTCGACGGGATCTCCAGTCATGTTAAAACTTCCCGATAGAGCAAAAAAAAAAGGCACGGAATGCGCAGAAAGTTTGCAGAAGGCTCCTATGATATGGGGACTCGTGAGTCATGATGCCAGCGTGAGAACCACGTTGTTTTCTACTCAGCGATTGGTTCGGTAGCTCCCGAGCTCGGTTATGATTCGCTGGCTCATTATCATCGCTACGAAGTTTCGTGAATACCAACAGTGTTCGTAAGAATGAGACGAGGACTTACGAAGTTTCGTGAATACCAAAGATACGAAGTTCGTAAGAATATCGCATTCTTACGAAGTTTTCGTGAATACGGCCCCTGGCCCATACGGAAAAAAATTCACAAGCGACTCAATTTCGCGATTGACTGTACCTCTCCAAATTCGCGAAATTGAAGCAGGCGATAATATTTCTGGCTGAACTGTTTTTTTTTTATTTTATTTTATTTTTAAATTGCATAGTTTCTTTGCCCCCACCCCTTGCAGTTTTATCAAGTGACGTCCCTGATTCCTTACCTCGAAAGAACCTGCCTACTCTGAGATCAGTGGCAAGACAGTTGAGCCAGGTAATCCTGGGAAGCATGGCATCACAATAATTAACGACTTAAGAGAGCTGTAGTCAAAAACATATCGAGACACTGTGACGTTTAAATCGGGACGCTTTCGTTGCATTCCGCGAATTGCTCGTGTTTGCGCTGCGATGATCCAATCCCACGTGACTTGCACGTGGTCCCCCAGGCGTTACGCCATTCACTGTGTGGAATCCTTTCTCGAACTTTCCCCGGAGTTGGTGTGGGACCTTCCGTTTTCATCGAGACCTAAAACGTGTAACCAACTCTGCGGGGCTCCGCATCACTTAATCGGTTATTTGTATATTAGGCCAATGGAGTTCCGCTCCATTCTACTCTGAAGCCCTTCGGGTATCCATGCAACACGTGCTTCCCATGGCAGTCGTTCCAGGTGCACCAATGTACGTGAAACGCTCGCATTTTTTAACGTCCGGTTGTGGCGATTTATTTGAGGTCTCCTTTCATACTCGACACTTTCATAGGCTTAAAAGTTGAGGATGAAGGACGTCGGGGTCGAGCATGGCATGCCGAAATCCGGCGCTTTGGGTGTATTTTGCTTAACCTAAAGTTAGGCCTAAGTCAATGTTTATAATTGTTTGGATGTCATACCACCTGCCTAACTGTGGTACATGATTTTATTATCAATTATGCATCTTGGCATTCAGTAGCTACGCCATGGTATTAATGTAATCCTGCAATAGAAAAATTGGATAATTCTTTTTTTGTATTTTGCCCTTGATTGCAGTCTGTGATCTATCTCTGGAAAGCCTGTGATCCTTTCTGAGGATATTCTCTTGACTCTCATCTTAAGGAACTACATCCTTTGTCATATTGAGGTTAGTGCTTCTGCTGTACTGCATGTTCTGCTGCATCCTAAAAAAAAATAGAAATGGCTTATGTTCAATCCATCTTGCTGTATAGCACAAGTATAAACTTGTCCATAGAATTAATCCCCTTGGTTGTTCATTTCCACGCTGCTTATTTTATAGACATGGAACATTTGACCCAGTTCTTTTGACAACTATTTTTAAATCTCAAACTTCCTGTGGGACTGCTACATTCAGTTCCTCAGTAGTCAGTGCATCTCATTCAAGTTATTTTTTTCAGTTACTTGAATCCCTTGATCAGATTCTTGTTGCTTAATTTTTTTGTGATTAGTTAGTTCAGAATAGTGTGAATCCCTCAATAATATTCTGCAGAAAGTAATTCCCCCTCCACCTCCCACGCTCAGGTTCCTTTCTCAGCCTATAAGGGCCTGTCAAAAAGTTCCAATACATATTATTATGGAAATAGCTGTTAAGCATGAGGTACAGTGATATGAAGTTCTTCAAAGCATTCTGTTCGGTTGTCATACACTTTTTTTTTTTTTTACCACAGTCCTACAATTGAGAGTAAGGAAGAGGAATTATAACATTTGAAGCCACCTAGTATAGCAAATTTGAAGAATCTTCTGTACAGGCCCATAATCCTTCACTGTTAGCTGTTTTCTCTGAAGTTGTAGTAGATAAAGACCTTTGTTCTGTGAGGGAGTTCCTCTCACATTTCCTTTTGCATCCTTCCTCATGGATAGCCAAGAATTTGTAAGATGGTGAACAGAATGCCAGGCTGGCTTGACTTCATGTCTATTGCACTGGCTTTCATTCTTCTCTGGTCGAGGGTTGCATCAGGTGAGTCTGTGTTTGAGGTCCTCATTTACAAGGGTTCAGGGATTTGAGTTCAGAGTTCAGTTACAAGGGTTTAGGGATTGGAGTTAGCATGCACCCATGAAGTACCAGTCATATGTAAGGCCGAGGGAAATGTTTTCCTGGCATTGGTTGACAGAAAGTGATGGTCTCTATTATATGGGAGTGTGAGCTCGTCCCATAACTATTTAAGTGAATTGAATGCTATGGCTAGTTCTTGATATATCATGGAAAATAAATTGATTAATGAGTGGAATTATCTTTTGCAGCAGACTTTTGTGGATTCGAGAAGAACAAGGCAGATTGCCATTTCAGTTATGAGGGGATAGAAGTCAATGTGAAAGGTGTTGTAAACGAGGACCTGGGAAATTTGGATTCCCTCACAGTGACATTCAACTTCAATGTGAGATCATGATCTTTTTGAAAAGAACCTAAGTGATACAGACAAGCCTGAGAGATTATGCACTGTTTCCAGATTGAATTCAAAGGAGCATCTCCATCAAATTGGTGCCAGTCTTCAGAAGCAGATCCTTTGTAATGCTTTCTCCCATTTTCAATCCTCAATGGGGTAGTGGCTATGAATTCAATCTGAGAAGGGTGTAAATAGATGCATTTGGTTTACTAGGAGAATCAGTCTGGTTAATGAACCTCCAATGAATGTTAAAATAATAGATGCTAAATAGTAGACATTGCTTACTGTGGTCACTGGTTATTGTCAGCAGGATATTGTGGTCATTTCTTGAAAACAAAAATCAAATTCCATACTTTTTGCAAAATCTTTTCCTGTCTTTGAATCACTATTGCTGCATATTGGTGTGTGACACCTATATGCAGCTCATTGGTTCCTGAATCATTGAATTTTTCAATGGGGTTGATGGAGGCACTTTCCCAGTCTGTCCCAGTCATTGAGAGCTGGAAACAGCCTTGATTGGTATTAAAATCTGTATGATGGCTGCAAGACTAAAATATAAGGCAAGGGTCCACACAGAGTTGAATTTAACTATTATTTCTTTCATTTAAGACAATTTGGTTATGAAAGTACTGAATTCTGAGTTTTGTTGATTACTACCTATTATCAGCCACTTATTATTGTACAATACCCTTGTACCAATCTAATGGCAAAAAGCATTGTCCAGTGCATCTCCAAAGATCTATTGCCTTTTTTTTTCTTTTACTAGTAGAAAAATTAGAAATCAACTTTGAGAAAAACCACAAAAGAAAAGCTCACAAGAGCTATATTGATGTTTGTCAGGCCTCACAGTATGCAATAAAACTTAATAAATTGATTTCATATTGAAGGCACTCTACTGGCTCCTAACTGTCTATGGAGGGTGCATGGGACACAAATTTACTGTAATGTTTTCAGTTCTTGGATTGAAT